TAATTAAAAACAAAAAAAGATACAATACTTCCTGATGATCCCTTGTACCAAAATCACAACAAACTTTTTTTTCAAAAAAACAGTAAACTATGGTAGAAAAGAAAGAAATAAGACTAGTCAAAACCATAAACTAGCATCTGTTATTTAGAGATAATTCCCATATACTATTTTCTAACAGGCCTAGAGCTTATTACTCACTATGAAGATGGCACTTGTTATTTAGAAGTAGTTCTCATATGCTACTTGCTAACAAGTTTAGGGTTTATCACCTACCAACAAAAAAACTAGCAATACACTTGGCTCTATATGTTTTATTGGCTTTGAAAAAAAATATATACTTTTTTAAGAAAAGTACAAAGGCTATACTCCACACTATTACCTACTTACTTTTTCAACAAAATTTTTATAAAAAGTGGCAAAACAGCTTATCCTTGTCAATAGTTTACTCCACACAAATCAGGACATCGCAACTATGTGTTTTGTTTACCAACAAATACAGTGCTACTCCACGTGACAAGGCCTCTATCTAATAAGCTATACACGAATATTCAGATAGTTAGAAAGAAATTTTCTGTTAAGGCATAGCTTTATAGTAGAGATATACAAATATTGTATTTGGTATATAATTTTTAAGCCTAGCACAGGTTATAATAGTGTCACTTAGATTGTGTTTATTTCTTTCTTCTTTTATATTTTTTTTATCTTTTTCTAGTTATAATAGAATAGAGTTTAGGTTCTACTTCTTGTTCTTTTTTTTTTTTCTTTCTTCTTTTTGTGTTTTTTTTTTCTTTGTTTTTCTTTTCTTTTCCCTCTCTTTTCTTAAACTAGCTTTGAGCTTTTTAAATTTCTTTTGTAATTGTGGTTAGTAAGTTTTTTTCTTAAATAAAAGTAAGAGTTTTACTCTTTCATCTGGATCTAGGTAGAAAAAATTGTGAAAGAAAAAGGATGTGATTATAATCAGCTACAAGGTCCAGTCAGTGAATCTCTTCAGCAGGTAGTTCTAACATAGGGAGGAGACAAACTCTTGTTTTGGCAGATCACAGATAAGTACCTATAATAACCAAATGAGTTGTATTTTAGTTTTAAGATATTTAATACCAGAGGTAGTAATAGCATTTGATAATATAACTACTTTATTTCTAAATAAAATATGACATGATTGCTAAAAAAAAAAAAAAAATTTTTTTAATTATATTAATCAGGTTTAAGTTTTGTATAGTACTTATTTATAGTAGCTAATCTTGCTAGTATTAGGCTAAATAAGTAATTAACAGGTTTGAACAAACCCACAATTTTTGCATAGTATCTATTATAATATAAGCTTCACTAGTACTAGGCTATATAAATAACTAACAGACAGAGTATTTTAACTAATTTTTACACTATTGGGGACTAATAAGCAAAGTATCTTTAATGTAATTCTATACAATTTTTAGTTTAAAGTTTTTTTTTTTTTATATTTACTTTAATTTTTTCATAACTTTTTTTTGTAGATATATTCATAATAGTGCATCCACATTAGAATGTTTTTTACTACCCTATATATAATAGAATAGTTAAATAGTTGTAACCTTAAAATCTAACAAGCACTTTTCTCTTTTGGTTCTGAGGTATATAACTATTTAAGAGCAGCATGATCTGTAATTAAAGTAAAGTGCTAGCTTCTAAGTAATAATAGAAGTGTTCAATAGCCCATACTATGGCTAAACACTCTACTTTCAGGGCTAAGTAATTATGTTTAGTTTTAGATAATCTTTGACTTGCATAAGCAACTATATATTCCTTGTAGCTTTTATCCTTCTGGGCTAATACTGCTTCCAACCTTACACCAGACA